TCATCTCAACATCAAGAAAACAAAACTTCTCACCACAGTGCCAATAAGCAACTCTTACTACAGAAGAAAAGAATGACATTGTTGATAATTTATTCTCACTTGGATCCATAATCAACATCCTTAGAACCAGCAGTCAAGAAATCAAAAGATGTACTGCAATGGGAAAGTCTGTAGTGAAAAAAGCAATGATGTCAGTTTAAAGATTAAGGTATGTCTTATTCAGGCCATAGTCTTTTCAGTCACTTGCTATGCATCTGAGGATTGGACAATGATTAAGGATAACAGAAGAAGAATCAATGCCTTTGAGTTGTGGTATTGTTAGAAGAGAAGATGGAATACACTATGGACTGCCAAAATAACAAGGAAACGTGTCCTGGAGAAGTGCATCCAGAGCAATTCCAGGAGGCAAGGATGGAAAAGTTTTGTCTCACATAATTTAGACATGTTGGTAAGAGGAGGGAAAGGGACATCATACTTTGAAAAGTGGAGGGTCCACAAAAAAGAAGATCCTCAACTAGATGGATTGACACAGTGATGGCAGCAATGCGTTTGAGTGTGTCAGAGATGATGAAGATGACACAGGGTTCAGATCTGTTGTTCAGAGTTGCTATGAGTCATACTCGCCTTCATGGCACATAACAACAATATAGCTGACTCTCTAGTATGTTTTCAGGAAGCTGTCAATCATGTGAAAAGACAGTGCCCATCTCTATGCTGTAAGAGGATTAGAACCTACAGAGAAGTGCACATTTTGGATTAGCAGTGCAAGTCCTTATGAACTTTGCCACCAGAGTGCTGTATTTGCACATTAGAGTTTAAAAAACAGAAGTCACCATTTGGAGACAATCAGTAGAATCTTGGTACATTTATTTTTATAAATTTTTGGTTTCTAAATAGAACTTATTAACAACCTGTATTATGCCGATCTCACCACCTTGCTTGCTTAAAGTGAAGACTTGAGGTACTTACTGTAGAAGACCAAAGGCTATACCTTCAACATCAAGAAAACAAAAATCCTCACCAATCGACCAAGAGGCAAACACGGTGATAGAGAAAAGCTTGAGTTGTCAGTGATTTCACTTTACTTTAATCCCCAATCAATACCTATGGTAACAGCAGTCAAGAAATCAAAAGATGTGTTCTACTTGGAAATCTGCTGTCAAGGAACTCTCTGAAGTGCTAAAGCACAACGGCAGCTAGACAACCTAGGAGCACCGTAAGTTATGGTCTTTTCAATGACTCCTTATGCATCCAAAATGTGGACAATTAATAAAGATGACTGAAGAATCAGTGACTTTGAATTACTGCAGAGGAGAAGACTAGAAAATATTCTATGGACTGCCAAAAGGACAAACAGGTCTGTCTTGGAGGAAGTACAAACAGGGTGCTCCTTTAAAGTCAAGGATGATGAAACTTCATCTCACATAATTTGGATATGCTATCAGGAGGGGGCAGTCCTCGGAAGGGGGAAATTATGGTAGGAAAGATGGATGGTCAGAGAGAGAAAGAGGAAGACCCCCAACAAGATGAACTGAAACCGTGACTGGAACAACGAATTTATGCATTTGGGATATTGTGAAAGGGGTGGAGGATAGGGTAAGGTTCAGGACCACTATGATTTATAGTGGATTAATGGCACTTTACAAAAACAACAAGTATAAATACAAGGAGTCCTGGCAGCACAATGGCTAAAACCCAACAGTCACTCTGAAGGAGAAAGAGCAGCCTACTTCCATAAAGGTTAGAGCCTCATAACCTTACAAGGCACATTCTTTTAAATTAACTTGAATGTAATAGGCTTAAATATAAATATCTATGCACATAACTGGAGTTTTATGAATTTTTGTATCTTTTTTCATGTTGTATAGTAAAAATAGATATGACAAAAATATTTGCCATTTAAATATTTTCTACTTGTACAAATTGGTGACCTTAATTATGTTCACCATGTTGTAAAATATTCACCATGTTGATGCAAATTTATCAATTACTCTTAAATGATGATCGGTAACCTCTAAGCAATGCCCCTTTTCCCCCCATCTGCTTCCAACTCTGGTGTGCCACTAACAATCTTTGGTCTATACATTTTTTGATCCTAGATACTTTATGTAAGTAGAGACATACTTTATATGTTATTTTGTAATTGACTGACTTCTTTTAGAATTTTTGTTGTGTACCGTAGAGTTAGCCTTGATCCATAGCTGATCTTCTGGCGGGTTTTCAGAGGAAGTTAATAGAAGAAGAGGAGACTGCCCAACTGTTTATGAATTTATACGTAGTATTTAAATCGATTCATTGAACATCAAATAGTAACTCTCAGAAATTTTATAGTTTGATTTATAATATAGATTGCCCTCATTTAAAATCTCAATTTTCATAGAAAATGGACTTTTGAAAGTAGAACTCTTATAGATTTATTAATTAAAAATACAAAAACAGTATGTTTGGCCCTGAAATAGTTCAGCTAACTCTGAAGATTTACAGTGGTGACTGAGCCAGTGGCAATGGTTCTGCTGTGTTAGTGTGCCTGATTTCATCTGTTTAAAAAGTGAATGTTACATCAGCAGCTCCACATTTTAGGCTTAAGGTTTAGGGGCACAAGGAAGGCTGACAGACCTTAATACCTGGGAAAGTGAGCTGCCCCGAATGATGTAGTCATGACCACTGGGCTACATGCTTTTTTCAAAGGTTGGGGCTAAAGATGATAAGAGAGCCAAGTAATAGACATGTTGTTGTTGTGTTGTTATGTGCCATTAAGTCACCTGCAACTCATAGCGACCTATGTACAACAGCCCTAAACCCTGCTCTATCCTGTCCCAATCGCACAGTCTCCGACACACCCATCCCAATCACCCCAGTCACTGAGTCAATCCACCTCATAGAGGGCCTTCCCCTCCAGCGATGTCCCTCCACCCTACCAAGCATGATGTCCCTCTCCAAGAACCTGTCCCTCCTTACAACATGTCCAAAATATGTCAGGTGAAGCATCAGAATCCTTGCCTCCAAGGAGCAGCCCAGTTTAACCCTCTCCCGCATGAATCTGTTTCTTTTCTTAGCAGTCCAAAGTCCACTCAATACTCTTCTCCAGCACCACAGCTCAAAGGAATCAATTCTCCTTCTATCCTCCCTAGTCATTGTCCAACTCTCTGGTGCATAACAAGTGATTGCAAAGACCATGGCCTGTATCAGATGCACCTTCGTCTCCATGGTGACATCATTGCTCTTCAGTACTTTGGAGAGGTCCCAAACAGCAGACTTTCCCATCGCAAAATGTCTTTTAATTTCCTGGCTGCCAGTGCCAAAAGTGTTGATAATGGAGCCAAGCAGCCTAAAGCTGTGAACCATCTCAATCTCTTCACCATCCATCCTGATGCTCCCAATTGGTCCAGTGGTGAGAATCTTTGTCTTCTTGATATTGAGCCTCAATCCATATTGAAGGCTGCAGTCCTTGACCCTCTGCAGCAAGCACTTCAGGTCCTCTTCAGTTTCAGCAAGCAGGATTGTGTCATCTGCATAACACAGATTGTCGACAGATCTTCCACAAACCCTGACACCACATTTCTCCTCATAGAGCCCAGCCTCTTGGATAAATCTGTTCTGCATTTTTAGGTAAAACCAATGGTAGAAGTTGGGACTAAATGTTATTTTGTGCTTGTTGAGAATACTCAGAACAAACATAAAGCAGTCTAAGAGTTTCTACATGTATCATCTGATGTTGGCAGGGGCTGTTGAGTTAATTTTGACTCATATCGACCCTCTGAGCAACAGGCCAGAATCTTGCCCTGTCCTGTAACATCATCACAACCTTCATGACACATCAATTAGTAAAACGGAAAACTTTTTTTGAGTAGTGGTGCTGGAGAAGAGTGTTGAATATACCATGGACTGCTAGGAGAAGAAACAGGTTTGTCCTGGAGAGGGTGAAGCCAGAATGCTCCTTGAAGCCAAGGATTCTGAAGCTTCATCTGACATACTTTGGGCATGTTGCAAGGAGGGACTGGTCCTTGGAGAGGGACATCATGTTTGGAAGAGTGGAGGGACAGTGCAGGAGAAGAAGACCTTCGATGAGATGGATCAATTCTGTTACCGGAGTGGTGGTAATGAGTGTGTTTGAGATGGCTAGGTTGGCACAGGATAGAAGGGCATTTAGGGCTCTTGAACATAGGGTCGCTATGAGTCACAAGCAGCTCGATGGCACATAACAACAACATCATATAAGCATCTGCTTCTCTTCCTCTTTCCAGTTCTTTGGAAATACACTAAGAGTTGAATTGCTGGATCACATGTTAATATTCTGGGCTCAATCTTTCGAGGAAACATTAAACTATCTTCCACGGTGCCTGCCTGTCACTGTGTAAAAATTAAAAGCAGAGCTACTCTCAACTCTAACCCTTTGCTAAGTGGAACTTCAAAGCTTTCCTTTACTATTTTCAAGTTTTGTTTTCTCATCAGCAAAATGATATATTAATATTACATCTTAACTCCAGTTTTAGGAGGTGGGTAAGGGTAAAAGCCAGTTTAGGCAAAGCAATTTGAGGTAAGATCAAAATAGTGGTAGATTATTGAGAAACCTACATAATGATTAGTTATTAGTCACAGCCATCCTTCAAAGTCCTCAGGGGGACACAGACAATTTACAGATCTAGAGCAGACCTAGTGAACAAAAGGGAACAGGGTAGGAACTCAGGTCTTCACATCAAAGGGGAATTCCATTTAGAACTGGTTAATAAAGCACTTTCCTCAACTTCAAAGATTCTGTACTCCACCAATACACTGGTCTATTCCCACCTGAGTGCACTCCCGGGGTTACTGTGCGGCTCAATCCCAGAACAGGATTACAGCCATGAAAACTCATGGTTAATAAAGAAAAACCATTTATGAGCTTTTAAAGGGTTAGTTATAAACAGAACATTTTTATAATTTCAGAAGGGCCATTTCAACCTTAAGACCCACATTCTAGCAGAGTGTCAGAGAGAAGCTGTGAATGGGAACCTCTTTACCTGATGGTGGTGCCTTGCAAGCGGTCTATCTTCTTATTGAGCTCGGCGATGATGCTGTGCAGCTCAGTGATGCGCTCCTCGTACCGAAGCGTCGTCCGCTCCTGGACATCCTCATGCTCTCTCATGAGGTGAGACTGTTCACACTAGGATCAAGAGAAGACAAGTACTGATAAGCTGATGGTCCGTTAGACTAGGGATTCTAAGTTTATGGCCTCAGTGCATCCTAATATCAACACAGAAATTGTCCAGATTAAAAAAACAGCACTGACCTGCTTACCTGCCTTGCAATCCAAATAATCTCAGCAACATGCAAATTCTACAGGATGCACAGCGGAGCTTTCCAACACTCACATCATCTGTGGCACCATCCTTGTACTCAGTTTTCCCCGAGTCAGGAAATAGACATATGGCTTTAACTAGACACAGGTATTGTCTTTTAAGAACTGAGTTTTTGTTGTTTTAAAATAAAATGTTTATTTTATACTGGTTTACTTACAAAGTTTGTATACATTGTTTTTCACACCAGATTTTCCCCATTTCCTTTACTCACCTATCCCTCCCCATCAAATTGTGCAACCTTATGATTAACTACCCACCTTTACCCTTGCCCACCCTCACCGCTTTGCTCCTCCTGCACTTGGATCCTCATACACATTCTACAATAATGGTCTTATAGCCCATTTGTCCTTATGGGACTGAGTTAGAGAACTGAGTTTTGAGGGGATGGCCTTGGAGTTGATTCTTCTGGGTGCTCTGAATAGACTGTTCCTTATTTCTTGCTATTGTTTTCCTAAAGCTTCCTTCTAGAGTTCCCTCATGGCTAGTCAATGTCCCCTCTTATCAAATCATTCCTTTGTTGTTTATTTTGTCAGTGTGTGTCATCTACTTTTTGATTAAATAATCTTAAGAGTTATAAGCCCATTTCTTGCCTGGCTGTGTTAGCTGCATTCATAATGCTTTCCAACGTCCTTTCCTTCGAGATTATAAGCTCTTCAAAGGCATGGACTAAGAATTTTTATTATTTAGCCTTTAGACGCAACTGAGGGAGCTCTGGCGACACAGTAATGAGAAGCTGCGTGGTTTGGATCCAAAGAGATGTGGTTCGAATCCACTAGCTGTTCCATGAGAGAAGGATGGGAAATCTCTTTTGGTGTGATTGATTTACTGCCTCTGAAAGCCTGCTGTGGGGGGGTCAGCTGGGGATCAGTTCAGACTCAACAGTACACAACAAAGAAGTTGCTACTGAGTCAACTGAAACTCCAAGAGACCCATGTGTATCACAGCTCTGTGTTCCAGAGCATTTTCAATGGCTGAATGTTTTTGAAAGTAGATTGCCAGGCGTTTCTTCTGTCGTACCTTTAAAATGAAACCCAAGCCTATTACATTTCAATTGATTCTGACTCTTGATGACGTTTTAAGAGAGTAGAAATGTCTCAGAGAGACTCTACCAAAGGAGACTGCCCCTCTGTCTCCTGTGGAGTGGCCAGTGGGTTTGAAATGTGGAGCACTTAAGCACTACATTATCAAGACTTTGATAAGGTGCCTGGATGAGATTCAAAGCTCGAACCTTTCAGTTAGCAGCTGAGAGCATAGTGTGATAATCCCCTGGTACTTGACTGGCTGACTGTGGGTGATCCATCTCTAAGGGCTTAGAAGAAATAATTTACAACATCATCACTGTCATGATGGTTCCTTTGCAGAAATAACAAGAGTCAGAGGAGCTTTTCTTAGTCAGAAATTGATAGACTAAGAGGCAAAGAGGTTATAAAAAAGATTTTTGTAACCACAGTTTATTTGCTTGGCTCCACAATCAATACTCTAGGTACCAGTATCCAGGAAATCAAAAGATGCATTGTATTGGGAAAATGTGCTGTCAGGGACTTCTTCAGAGTACTGAGAAGCAACGATGTCAGTCTAGAGACTAAGGTGCATCTGATTCAGGTCATGGTCTTCACAATTACTTGCTATGCATCAGAGAGCTGGACAATGAATGACTAGGGATGACAGAATAAGAACTATGAGCTATGGTGCTGGAGAAGAGTATTGACTATGCCATGCTCTGCTGGGAGAATAAAGATGTTGGTCCTGGAGAGGGTGAAAACAGGCTGCCTCTTGGAGGCAAAGATTCTGAAGCTCTGTCTGATATACTTTGGGCATGTCACAAGGAGGGACCAGTCCTTGGAGAGGGGCATCATGCTTGCGAGCATGGAAAGACAGTACAAGAAGGAAGACCCTCAATGAGATGGATTGGCTCAGTGACCAGGGTAATGGGGGTAGGTATGTGAGAGACAAATAAAGTTGGCTCAGGATTCAGAGCTGTTGTTCCCAGGGTTGCAATGAGTCATGAGCAACTTGACGGCAAACAACAACAACCACCACCACCAGAGTTTACATTCTGAGTAATCTTTTTACCTTGTCCTCTTTTCTCCACCCTGCTGAGACTCCCAGCCTTTCAGTCATTGTGTAGTCTAATTTTCATAATAATAGAACACAAGTGGTTGATGAAGCAAGCAGTCCCGTTTATGACTGTCTACTACATTCAACCCTGATTAATTTCCTGTTTAGCAGAGGAATTTTAATGTCATTTTCAACAAGGTTTTCCTAATGCTAAGAGCCATATGTACATATCTGCTCTGCAGGTTTGCACATAAGAAGACTCTTCAGTTACTACCCCTAATGCTTTCATCCACTTCCAAGAGTGTGTGGAGAGACAAGTCACTGGGCAGGGATAAAAGTCTTCAAAGGTAAGTAGAACAGCATACTAATTGTAACACAGTAATGACACAGAAGTACCCAGCAAAGAACTCTGGTAAGTACTGTGGGTGTAAATCACAGCAGGGACCACACCTACGAGCATATAATTCCCAACTGCCTGATCCTTATGAACATGGCCACTGGCCTGGGCTGCTCATAGCTCTAAAAGCAAGAAAAGGGTGTGGAGGAGATACTCTCACTGAAATGGTGACATGAACGACTACTATTTAGCAGCAATCTGGAACTAATCTTTGTGATAAATAATCTCTAACCAAATCCACGGGAACCACAATATGACTTTGAGTTCCTCCCACCTTAATTTAGGAACCATCTCAGGAACAGGTTTGAGGCTTTGAGCACTAATGAGCAAAGACCAGATGATCTGTGGGAGGATTATCAAGGGTATTATCCAGAAAGAGTGCAAACGGTCATTGCAAAGACAGAAGAGGAAGAAAAGACCAAAATGAATGTCAGAAGAGACACTGAATATTGCACTGGAGCACACAGAAGCCAAAGTAGAAGGAAGAATGAATTCTTGAAAGACACTAAAGAGTTGAATTGTTGTTGTTGTTGTTATGTGCCGTCGAGTCGCCT